ATTACCTATGATTAAGGATTCCCGACGGAATCCGAAACGTCAGGACAATAAAGCTGTTGCTCTAGTGATCGCTTCTTCTTCTAGAAATGTTTAGTTGACTCAATTGTGAAAAAACTCCCGCCAACGCCGCGATGTTTTTCACAAGTGGGTCAACTAAATTAAGCAAATCTGCTAAAACCCCCTAACAATTAAGTCAGCCTAGTAGCAATTCTGGTGGATTCTAGATGATTGCTTAGGAGATCCCGCTTGGGCAGTCAGCTTGCTGATCAGTAATGGTTGATTCCATACGAGCGGTAAGTTGGCCGGGTAAAATCGGTTAAAGTGTGATCAAATTCACGGCGCACGGCGTGGAGTCGTAGCTCAATTGGTAGAGCGTTGGCTGCGCAAGGGCCTTCCCTGCTGTACGAATTCAACTCCCGCCGACGCCGCGAGTTTTTCACAATGGGATCAACTAAATTAAGCAAATTTGCTAAAAGCCCCTAACAAACTAGAAATGGTCACGACAACTCCCTTTGTCTCCGACCCTATTTCTTTCAGCATGATCGCTATGGGACTGTCTTCAGGAACTTGAAATTGAGCCTTAAGGGACAACAGAACGAGCAGGTCCCGTGGCTACTAAACTGGGGCGAACTCTTGGTATTGGATGCTGGAATGTGCGAATAGTTGTGGATCCTGATAGCCAAAGTCCGACGGCGCACTGTCTTTATGAGTACCACGTAGACGTATGCTGCTTGTTCGAAGTCCGAATCCCCGACTCAGGCGCCCGGAAAATAAAAATCGAGGGAGTTAACTCCCACTTCACCCCGTACGACAGAGGCCCACGCGACCCTTCTGGTAGACACGATGTGGCTGTTGCTCTCCCGGAACAAGCAAACTATGCACTATTGGAATGGGAACAAATCAATAGCCGGATGGCTTACGTACGACTGAAGGGTCACATTGCGAATATTTTTGTCGTCTCTGTTTACGCACTAGTACGATCTGCCGAACAGCACGATAAGGAGACCCTCTACTCGCAGCTGCAGTCAGGTGAAAGACTTCTTCGGCGTGATCTGCTGATTGTTGCTGGGAGGCTTGGAATGGGTAGACTTGCCCCGGCGACTCGTCAAACAGTCACCTTACTGGTCGTTTCGGGCTTGGCTCTCGAGACAACAATGGTAAGAGGATGCTGCATTGTGCTGATCAGAACCGACTGTTTGTCATTTGTAGTGGACAGCCAAAATTGCTGGCCG